CAGCCATGGGACTATAGTTACAGAAATGCAGCCTGTGATTGCCACTAGTATTTCCTCCCTGATTTCTTCTCTGCCTGTCCTAGAAGCCGCGCTGATGTTATATCCTAGTATAACGTATTGTACCTTTATGTCATCCTGTTTGAGTTATGAGATGTTGAGGGGAAGAAAAGCCTTTATGCAAGGGCATTCCATGATCTGCTCAGGAAAGGGTGAGTTTTGGGCTTATGCAGCAGAGTCTTATCATGCTTGGTGAAAATGTGACCCCACAGCTGGCTCAATCTGGAGGATGAGCATGGTCTCAGGTGATGCATTTGAAGGCCAAGCTGACCAGGGGTGACCAGAGGCTGGTAAAGTTCATGATTTGCCTTGGTTAGGCCTCATGGTGCAGATATTTTGTCAAACATTCTTTCAGATGTTCCCATGGAGGTATTTTGTGTATGATTAATATTTAAATAAGAAACAGCAGACTAAAGTAACTCACCCCCCAGAGCGAGACTCTGCCTCATAGAAACAGTTGAAGATCTGTGTACAAAAGGAGTCCTAAGGATCACTCCTCAGAAGGGAAGAATTCTTCTAGAAGCTGCCTTCAGAATCAAGCCTTGTGGTGGTGCTGTGGAGTTCATCTGGCTCTGGCACTTGCGAGGCGATTGCTCCACCCCTGGGCTGCACCGTGAGGCCTCGAACGGCAATTCTTCCCTGGCTCTTTAGCCTGTAATTATACCCTGCCACTCTCCTAGGTGTCTGTTTGAAAATGCATACAACACATCTGGACATTCACAACGGACCTCAGAACCACAGCTGCTTGGAGAGCAGCCCTTCCGAGTCTTTCATTATTAATCCCCTAATGAACCTTTTCTTTTTGTCTTTATTTTCTTGCTGTGGCACTGGAAATGAACTCAGGGAACTTGCATTGACCTACATCCCAGCACTTCTCTGTTTTGGGGGCTTTTTTTTTTAAGACATCATCTTGCTAAGTTATTAAGTTGCCAGGAGGCTGGGCTGGAACATGTGATCTTCTTGCCTCAGCCTCCCAGAGTGGTCGAATTATAGGTATGCACCAACCCTAATGACCTCAAGGAGTCTTTTCCCGTAACAACCCTCACTATGAATGTTTACTACCATGGACGTAATATATATCTCATATATCTATATACGCTTTATATATTTAAAAACATGATTTGCCTCCCACAGACAATTTCCACCCTTCTGGGGAGGTTTTGCCAGCACTGAGGTTTCTTTACTGTTGGGAGGGCATACAGGGGGCACTGAGCCGGAAAGGAGACCTCTCATCGCCTGCCCATAGGAATGATTTGAATTTTAGATCATTGTGGATCACAAGCTCATTATTTACTGCAAACACAGACCGATAAAAGCAGGTCTCACAAAATCTATTGAGCACAGGTCTGAAATGAGATAATACTGATCGATACTCCAGCTCTGAGGTCCAGGAAAACATTGGAAGTGGAGAATGTTTGTGTTCTAGACATCTCAGATGTCCAACCAAATAATTTTTCAGAAGTTGACATACTCTTGCTTAAGTTACCACAGGTCAGTGTACAATGAATTGCTTTTACTTATACATTTTGGGGTACAGGGGATTGAATCCATGGCCTTCCCACTGAGTTGAATCCACGGCCCTTTTTAATTTTTATTTTGAGGCAGGGTCTCACTAAGTCATTACTTTGCCCTAGCTGGCTTGAAATTGTAAACCTCCTGCCTCATCCTCCCTGAGTGCAGGGACAATGGTGTTTTTAGGAGACAAAACTGAGGTCAGAGGACCTGGGTCAGAGGGAGTGTAGAACAGGCAGACTTCTTCACACTGAAGAGTTAGGGATGCCTGAGCTGGAGGCGGAGTAAGATCCACACCGAACCCACAGGGACCGGGAAGGATCCATCCAAAGTTCAGAACCTGTGAGGGGGCAGAAGGCCCAGCTGTATCCCTCAACCCACTTTCTATCCTTCCCGAAAACCCTTCTATCTGTTGCAATCCCTGCCACAACTGCTCTGTTCAAAGTTCACCAAGGAAGTCCAAGAAATGGCAGATGCTACTCAGCCTACATCAGTCTTGCTTTCCTGCTGTAATGAACTCTCCCTCTGAATTCTGTGACCTGACACTCGTTCAGCCAAGTTCTTGTTCATCATGTGTTCATTGAAAAATTACTCTACGTCTGGAAGCAGGTGCGCTGGTGTTCTCGGCTCAGGATCTAAGGCGAGGACGAAGTACGGTAGTGGGGTAGGGCCAAAATTGTTTCAGTGATGAATACCACCATAGAGGGTGTTCATTGCTAAGAACCTGAGGTCAAACCTATGAAAAATGTAACTGTAATTTTAGGTAACACTCAAGTAGAGGGTCCCCAGTGCCCAGGCTTGCAATGGTACTAGTGCAGTCTGTAGCCTCTTCAGGCCTAGGGTCTACATAGTAGGAGGTAGTGAAAACGAGCAAGGGAAGCCTCATGGGTGTTGACAGCCCCTCCTATCAGGCATTACCTCCTGCCCCTGCCTCCTGTCAATCAGTGGCTGCATTTGATTCTCACAGGAGCATGTACCCTACTGCGAACTTCACTTTCCAAGAACATCGGTGCTTCTTATGAGAATCTAAGGCCTGATGATCAGAGGTGGAGCTGAGACAGGGATGCCAGCCCTGGGGAGCAGCTGTAAATATAGATTGACCTTAGCAGAGAGGCTTCACGGCTGAGAGACCACAACAGATCAATTGCTCATGGACTCCTATCAAAATGCCATCAGTGAGTAACAAGTGACAAGCTGAATGTGGTGACAGGCTTTCTAGTGGCAGCCACACTGATGTACAGCAATTGGGCAGCTGCATCTGGTAACAACTTGAAGGCTGATTCCAACCCTTTTTTTGACCATGCATTGTTTGACCATTATTCATTTTACCAATTTGAGTGTCACTGTCTCCCATCGCCTCCAGATGGGAGCATGGATGCAGGACAGCAAGCTCAGAGCTCTCCGTGATTCTTCAGTATGGTGAGTTGTATATGTATCCATTATATATTACAATGTAATAATCAAACTACAGTGCACAAAAAGGTCATGTACTTGCACCAAACTGAAACAGTCCATCTGTCCTGGTGCATGAAAAGATTTTCTTCCAGGAAACAGTTTCCAAAAAGTTGAGGATGCTGATCAAGGAGATCATGAAAAAAAAAAAGATGAAATTTATGCTAAAATGCTACCAGGGTGCTATCAACAATTGCCAAGATGTGGATTCAGCCAAGGTGCCCATGATCAGATGAAGACAGAGAGGGCCGGGGATTTAGATCAGAAGTTCGGTGGCTTGCCTTGAGTTCACAGTGACTCCCTGCTGGTCTCCAGAACGTGTTTATTAAATGGGTTTGGGAACAGTAGCAAAAGCTCCTTAGGAATTTGGTTTTTGTTTGTTTTGTTTTGTTTTGTTTTGTTTTGAGACAGGGTCTCACTACGTAGTTGAGACTGACCTGAAACTCACTGTGTAGCCCAGGCTGGTCTCAAACTCACAGCAATCCTCCTGCCTCAGCCTCCCGAGTGCTGGGATTACAGGCATGAGTCACCACATCTGGCTATGCTAGCTAGTCTTAATCGAATGTTCCTCATATGGAAGAATGTCATTTGCAGGAAAATGGAACTGAAGGACATCATGTTAAGTGAAGTAAGTCATGCACAGGAAAAAAGTATGGATACTTTTTCTCATAGTTGGAAAAAAAGAGTCTGATAAGAACAAAAAAAAAGGTGGCAAATGGAGATAATGAGGGAGGTAACAGAAGGAAAGAAGATCCATCGTCAGTGTTGATGCAGGAACGAGTGGAATTGTAAGTGTAATTTGTTCCATTGATTTATGTTAATGACTTTGTAGAAACCTAGACAAAGACTCTGGAGTAGGTATCATCACTTCCCTGAGTGTATTATAAGAAATAAAAGTAAGTGTGAAACAATAAATGATCCTTCATGCTTGATTAACTTTATAGAATTTATTATGACATAGATAAAAATATAATCATACACTAAAATCGAACAATTACAAAAGCTCCATCCCAGATGAAATTTATCTCATAAAACCACCTACACTCTGTTGCTTAAAAAGTTTAATAGTAAAGCCTTGGGTATAGCAAGGTCCTTGGCAAGTTTAGAACTAAAATGAAGAGACAGACAACAACACGGGAAACTCTAGTGAACCCCGTCTCTCCAGCGGCCTCACACCTGGGAGTCTCCAGTTCCTGCTCCTGTGTCCATCTGGGTTTCAGCCCTCTCCTCCTGGCCGCTCAGCCTCTCTGCCTCCCTGGCCAGGCAGTCTGCCCTCAAGGCCTTGGCCAGTCTCTCCCGGGCTCTCTTCACTTCCTGCACCTGACTCTGGACATCTGCCGCAGTGACCTGCTGGTTGTAAGAGGGAGGGACGAGATGACAAGCTTCCGGGATCATCTCTTTCCAGAAGGGAGACAGGCCACGGCTGGACCCTGAGCTCTCAGCAGCAGCCTGACCCCAGGATCCACGTCGATGTCCTACAGTCATTATTCTTGAGGCTTTTGCAAAATCTGTTTGGCTTAAAACTTCTTTGCTGCCTTGTTGCTTGAGTGCCTGCAGCCTCCAGTTTGCACACAGCTGCTGGGGCTTCTCCATCTTCTTGTGGGGCCCGTACCTGACCTCATTGCAAGAGTGGGTGGTGAAGAGCATCATCGGCCTGGGGAAGATGCAGCTGGTCAGTAGTTCCAGGCGTGCAGAGGGCAAAGAAACAGAAGGAAACTCTGAGACATAAATTTCCTTTGAGAAGGGCGTCCAGGTCTGGGCAGTGACACAGGCTGTGTGTGAAACCAGTGGAATTAGTGCCTAGGGATGGACACAGCTGCTGGTAGGTTTTAGACTCTCCAGGTGATTCCCATCAGGTGGCAAGCGATTAAAGAAGCCAAGCAGAGAACAGCTGAAGCCCATTTCCTCAGCCAATTAAATTTAAATGATACCAGGTTGATAAATAGCATTGGTCAAGCTTCTACTAGGCAGCTGCCCACAGAACACACCTAAACCACTTGAGTGTAAGTATGAAGGGATATACATATTCTCAGCTTTGGGGAGGTTCATATAGGGAAGGGGCTGTTTGCGATGGCAAGTTTAGAGCTCAGGCAGTACCTTGGTCATGGGGAGAGGGGCACGGCAGGGATTCTCCATCAGAGAGAAGAAACAAGTTAGGACTGGTTCGGCGGATTTCTGCAGAGCTCCATTTCTGGTGACATTCTTACTGGGCACTCACTGCTGTCACATTGCAAACAGTACAAATCATGAGAAGATTCAGGGACTTTATTTCAACCCTTCATGTCTGAGAGTGTTATTGAAAGGACTCTGGCTGAGCAAGTTCGTTCTGCCTCACCTTGAGCTACCAGAAACCAGGAAGAAGTCCTCGATCTTCTCCCTCCTCCCCAGTTTCAGGCACAGTCTCTGCACCTGCTAAATCTTGGGATTAATTCCTGAAGGGCTACTTCCTAATACCTTGCTGTGAACAGTATAAATGACAGACTCATTCAAGTAAGTAAAATATTTACATTTGTTTAGGTATAAAGCATTAGTTGGAAGATGTGATGCTGAAAAACGAATAACCATATGTGGGAAGCCAGCCATGGCCCACTGGCTTTTTGAAAGATAACTTCTTTCTTTACAATCAAGGCATTGACACAATGTGTGGTCAGGATGTTCCTAATTAGCATTTGTTAACATTTGTTCCTTTTTAAGGACTGCACGTGTTAAACTTGTTTTTGACCCTGCACGGGAGAAACTCGGACAGCCGAAGAAGATCCGTAGGAGTCAGGTGCTTCCTGTTAAAGATCGGACATTATCTGTAGGAGTCAGGTGTTGTAACTCCATTTTGTTAAGTTCCTCCACCTATGTGGGAATCATGATTATTAGTTGCAAGTGTTGTTAATTTGTTTTTCTTGAGCCTGCTTTCTCTTGCCCGTGTGAACCCTCCTTCCCGTGGAGCGGGTGTTGAGGTTACTATGGTAATCCTAGCCCATAATAGTTCGGTCTTTCCCTTTAAAAGGCTGATGCCTGCCTGCAATAAACGTCGCCTTGATCAGACTCTTGTCTTGGCGTCCTTCCTTTCTGTCTGCCCCATCTCCACCCCGCTGCTCTTTCGGGCTTGAGGCACTGCTGGACAGTGCTCTGCGTCGCCGGCTCGCGACAACCATAGTTTCTGTGATATGTACCTATATGAAATGTATGGGCACAGTGGAGAATGCTAAGCATTGGCTATAAGTAGAGAAGCCTTCAGGTATATAGTTTAAAAGTGTGTGGGAGAGGAGTTGGCTTAGTTAACCAAATGATTCCGTGATCCACAGAGTAGCGTTATTTATAATGTTAAGTTCCTGCAGACGTAAAATTGTATGGAATACACTTTTGTCAGTTGTGGAGAATTAGTACCAAGGCCCCACGGACACCAAAAATCTGCCGATGCTCTAATCCCTTATATAAAATGATGTCTCATTGGCGTATAGAACCAATGCAAACCCTCTTGTGTAGTACTTTAAACCATCTCTAGGTGACTCCCAGCGCCTAGTGCAATGCAAGCAATAAATGAATAGTTGTTTATTCTGTGCTATTTAAGGAATACAGAGAAAACCATTACGCACGTCCAGTATAGATATAATTTCTGACTATTTTCTGTCTGAGATGGGTTGAATCCATGGACGTTGCCTCCACAGAGGGGCAGCAGTGTATCATACATACTGCTTTGTTTACACTAAATGTGAAAATGTATAAAACAACACTCGGAAATGTAAAGATATCTTCAGAAGTGAAGTTTTTACAGGCTTTGTTAAAAGGAAAATTTCTTAAAGTAACCCAGTCTTGTAGGATTTACTTGAACAAAGCATAAAAAAACAGATTCTAGAATTAAATAGATTTCAAAACTTTAGCATGTTCTGAGAACCCCGACCAACAATGTGATCTAACATTACTTATACAAAAAAAATTTTTTTTAAATGGAAAACAAATGAATTAACTAAAAATTGGGCAATCAGTCATTTTGGTTACAACTTAATCAGTTTTTTTTTTCTTTTCAGCCTAATTAATTTACTTGCTACAGGGCATTCTATTACCAGCCAGAACTCAGTTACTGTGATACAACTATCAATTTAGTCCTTTTAGGTTCATGACTGATGTCCAGTTCTAAGTACATGACCACTTCTACAATATTAGCTAACACTTTCTAAGGTGCTCTAATCCATTTAAAGAGTTAAATCACTTGAGAGAGAGACATTTTCACTGTCTGAGAATGTTCTGACATTTCATTCACATCCGATTGTATTCCATACAATAATCCAGAAAGAAAAAGATATCTAAGCAAGTGTAAAATGTATTTTTACTCTAGCTCTTCCCACTTCTAAAGTTAACTACAGTCATTTTGTGTGTGGAAATCTAAAATATTTTCCACTCCTAAAATTTACAGAATAACGTGTTTTAACAATATAACGTCCCATCCCAGAGATGGTTCTATTGTTCTTTAAAAGTAATGAGTACTGGGTGAGGTATATCAGACCTTACAGTTCTACTTGTCTTTTTCCCCAGTTATTACTAGATTCTAGTGTGCATAGAAGTACAAAAACCAAGCCATACATCACCAATTTTCACACACTCCTATGCCTAGCACCAAAATCAGAGAGGAGATTATGAGCTTCACCGTTTACCGATACCCTGCCTTGGCTCTCAGAAGCATACTTTATCTTTAACTGCATCACAGATTAGAGTTTTCTCCTTCTTTTTTAGACAATGTTCCTGTATGTTCTCATAATTGCCCCCTCTATCCTCTTGTCTCTGGCTGCTGAGTGTCAGGGGTAACAGATGTAGACTCATACCTGGGACAGCTTTGCTGGGTTTTGATGCGTGTGTGTTGTGTGCAGGTAACCACAGGACATGCATTGTCATGCATGTGGACTGACATTAGGTTTTTGAGGTTTCTCCTGATACAGTATTGCTCACTTGATTGTAAATTCTAAATATATGGAGTTCTGTCTGTGTATTTGTCCATTCAGTATTTAGTTTATTGCTCAATAAATTCATTTCATTCATTATGACTCCAGGTGCTGTGGCCAAACTAAAACACGTGCACAATGTTAGGCACGTTTTTGTGTAGGGGAACATGCAGACACATTCTCAGCTTTGACATACTACCAAGTGGCTTTTCGGGGTGTTATACCAGTTTGAGCACTCCCTATTGTTATATGGAAAACCGGTTGTTTTAACTGTCTTTTTCATTTTGTCTGAACTGATGCATGTATTACAACATCTCACTGTGAATTATTGTCTGTTTGGTTTTTATTGTCTATATTGCTGTTCAATTGCTTTTTTTTTTGTTTTGTTTTCTTGGTTTTTTTTGAGACAGGGTCTCACTATGTAGTGAGACTGACCTGGAACTCACTATGTAGCTCAGGCTGGTCTCGAACTCACAGCGATCCTCCTGCCTCAGCCTCCCGAGTGCTGGGATTACAGGTGTGTGCCACCATGCCAGGCTGTTCACTTGCTTTTGTGTAGGGACAGTTTGAGTTTACCACCAATTTTTCTGGTGAGTTTTCATTTTGTTTGTGACAATTCTTTATATATTCTGGCCTGATGTCCTCTACTGGTTTTCTTCTCCTAGTAGTTTTCCTGCCAAATTCTTAACTAGTTGTCATGAATAGTGCCTCTTAATATGATCCAAATTACAAATGTATTATATTGTTTTTTGTTTGTATGTTTTGGTACTGGAGATCAAATTTGGGTCCTTCTGCTTGTGAGACAGGAGGAGGAACCACTGAGCTAACTCCCTGACCCTCACTGTATATTTTGAATTTTACTATGTCCAGAAATGTTCTTGTAATACTGCTGTTCTGTCTTCCATGACAACTATTTATAGGTTTGTGTTTAGAATTGAAATTAAGGACGTAAGAAGTTACCAAGTTACCTGTTCCACACCTGGGGCTGGATTAACAAATTGAAAGGCAGTATAAAAACAAATATTCCAGAGTACTTGTTGAGCAACACTGGAAAATTCAGGACAGTGACTCAGAATTCTGGGAGCTGTATTAAAAGGTAGTAGAGAGAACTCAGGGGAAAAAAAGGATAAAAGCAATGAAAATACACTCTCGTGTTCCAAGGGGGTAGATGGCCTCATCCCCCAGAATCAATTAAGTTCACCTCCCCTAAACACGCTTCACGCAGAGGAAACAAATTATATCATGGTTTAAAAACCAAAGGTAAGGAAAGAGTTTAGATCTTTAGACCAAATAAGCAAGAAAAGCATTGACAGGTCAGTCCACAGAGAGCCATTCTTAAAAGGCTTAAACAAATCTCCTGCCACACTAGAACTGTACACCCAGCAGGAAAACAGCCCCAAAATACAGACGGTGAAACAACAACAACAAAAAGCTAGCCTGAGACATTTTGTTACTCATTACCTTGAATTAAAAATATATATATTTATATAGGGTTAGAAGTGTAACCCAGCGGTCAAGATGTTGCCAGCATGCAGAAGGCCCTAAATTTAATTCCCAGCACTAAGAAAACAGGCAGAGAGACAGAGATGAAGAGATGTAAACAGTCAGAGAGGGGTAGAGGGAGTGAAGGGAGGGCAGGGAACAGGAAAAATAAGAACCAAGACATATCACATAAAGGGACAAGATCCCAATGGTAAATGTGACTGTATTGTTTGCTTTAAAGGTACCAATAAACTCTATGGGGGCAAAAACAGTCAGGAGATTCTAGAGGGAATTTTAAAAACATTCCAGATGAAAACTGTGAGGAGTGAAGGGGAAAGTAATGGATAATGTACAGATAAAACTAAATGAATAGTGTGTTGGTGTATGAAGCAACAGTAGATCAAAACATATGTATAATTAATATGTATGAGAAGAGTACTATGAAAGAGAAAAAATAGATTAAGAGTGTTCTAAGTTATTACCAAAAGGAAGAGGTAGTAAAAATATCAAGGCTTCATGATTTGATTATATGTACAGACTTCTATCTGATTTATCTAACAAGTTACAAGACAGGACGGTGGAAAATAAAACTATTCAATATGTCATTCAAGTAAAGAAACTAATGAAACGATAATCAGTTAAATGAAAGAATATGGAAATAGTATGATATGTGAAAGCGTCCCAAATTTGCTAGTAATTACATGAAATTCTACTGCACAAAGTAGTCCTTTCTTTTGGTAGCTGTGCAACATAATGTGTGTAGACTTATAAGTGCTTTTGCTGTTTTACTGAGGGAGTCATGAATACTCTAACTTTTTCTTTGTTAAGAAATTTGGTAAGAGAATTGATGTACGTGGAAGTTCCTATTTCAGTTTTTGAAGACTGTATTTAAAGATACGGTGGGAGCAATGGAAACATAGTTAAAATGCTGATATTAATAATCAGTGAGGCAATGGATCAGCACAATGTATATATAGATCAAAATGTGACATTGTTTTTTTTTTTGTTTAGTTTTGTTTTGGTACTGGGGACTGAACTCAGGATACAAGGCAGGCGGCGGAACCACTGAGGTAAATCCCCAGCCCCACATTGTATTTTATTAATACACATAATTGTCATTTCAAATCTTTAAAATTTCAATAAAACACAGTGCCTTCATTAACTGCAAGTTCAACTTACTAAAACATATTTTTTTAAATCGATGCAGCAATGTCAGGAACTCCACATATTTTATTTTTGTATGAAGATTTCTGAATCCACTAAATTTCAGGACTATACCGGCTTGGCTTATCCTCTGGTTGGTTCATCTTCTTCCTCCTTTAATAGACGGGGAACCGAATGAAGACCACTGTGTCTTCCAGAAAGCCACAGCCTGTCTGTACCTCAGAGATGGAGCCAGAAAAGAAAAACCCAGCAACCATGGGGGAGCCTGAAACACTCTCGATTCCAAGCCAGCCTTTTGTGGTGAGCATGGAATCTATAGTCTCAAAAGCGTCCCTTTGGATCCTGTTATTTCAGTTAAACTTAATAAGTTAGCAGATAGTTGTTTTGTGCTTTTTGTATTCTGACTATGAAATGGAGTATTAATACACTGCCCAGGCTTGTCTTGAACTGCTGGGTTTGAGATCCTCCTACCTCAGCGTCCTGAGTAGTCTGAGCACCATGCTCATAAATGACAATTGTTGTTCAACTAAAATGATATTTTAGCAGAGCATGGTAAATGGTAAAATGATATTTTAGCAGCACGTGTCTGTAATCCCAGCACTCAGGAGGCTGAGGCAGGAGGATCGCTGTGAGTTCGAGACCAGCCTGGGCTACATAGTGAGTTCCAGGTCAGTTTCGACTACATAGTGAGACCCTGTCTCAAAACACCAAAATAAATAAATAAATAAATAAATAACATCCTATTTTAAGGAAAGTCATTCTCTAATTGCTAATATTTGTGAGTAAAAGTACATCTGAACAACGCTGATGACGGGGTTCCATTCTGACAGAGGCACTGACTGCCAGCTCCTTCACTGTGAACATCAGAGGACGGACTTACATACCCTTAGTGTAGGGAAATCAATGCATGTGAAACTTGTGAGGACAGTGCCTCGGACCAGAACGGCTTGGGGACCCGATGAACGATGGTGACACAGCAAAGGAGAGAGGCTCATCTTCACAGGCAGTGGGAAAATGCTTTGTCACTGGTCCTCGATGCGGACCCACACCCAGAGACTCCAGACATCTGAGTTTTAGTCACCTTTCCAAGTGGTCGTGAGGCACTGTGATTTCAGACACGCTTCTCCAAGAAAGGGAAGCTGAAAGATCCCAATGAACTGAGAAAATTCTCCACGGCCAAGGGAAGCCTTCATCCAATATTTTATTTAAATGTCACGTGTTATTTCCTCCTTAAAGGGTAAGCTCAGAAGAAGCATGCTACCTCCAGATCTGCAGAAGAAACAAGCTCGTGCCAAGCCCAGGTCTGCCGTGAGCTGTGCCCTCCCCATGCAACTGCCCAGCTGCATCTTCCCCAGCCCGGTGACTCTCATCACCGCACACCCTGGCAATGAGGTCAGGTACGGGCCCCACGAGGAGAAGCTGCAGAAGCCCCAGCAGCTGTGTGCAAGCTGGAGGCTGCAGGCACTCAAGCAACAAGGCACCGAAGAAAAACGTTTAAGGCGACTGCATTTCACAAACGCCTTCCAAATCCTGACTTCAGGAAGTCAAGGCAGATCCCGGGGTCAGGCTGCTGCTGAGAGCTCAGGGCCCAGCCCTGGCCTGTCTCCCTTCTGGAAAGAGATGATCCTGGAAGCTTGTCATCTCGTCTCTCCCTCTTACAACCAGCAGGTCACTGCGGCAGACGTCCAGAGACAGGCTCGGAAAGTGAAGAGAGCCAGGGAGAGACTGGCCAAGGCCTTGAGGGCAGACAGCCTGGCCAGGGAGGCAGAGAGGCTGAGCGGCCAGGAGGAGAGGGCTGAAACCCAGATGGACACAGGAGCAGGAACTGGAGACTCCCAGGTGTGAGGCCGCTGGAGAGACGGGGTTCACTAGAGTTTCCCGTGTTGTTGTCTGTCTCTTCATTTTAGTTCTAAACTTGCCAAGGACCTTGCTATACCCAAGGCTTTACTGTTAAACTTTTTAAGCAACAGAGTGTAGGTGGTTTTACGAGATAAATTTCATCTGGGATGGAGCTTTTGTAATTGTTCGATTTTAGTGTATGATTATATTTTTATCTATGTCATAATAAATTCTATAAAGTTAATCAAGCATGAAGGATCATTTATTGTTTCACACTTACTTTTATTTCTTATAATACACTCAGGGAAGTGATGATACCTACTCCAGAGTCTTTGTCTAGGTTTCTACAAAGTCATTAACATAAATCAATGGAACAAATTACACTTACAATTCCACTCGTTCCTGCATCAACACTGACGATGGATCTTCTTTCCTTCTGTTACCTCCTTCATTATCTCCATTCGCCACCTTTTTTTTGTTGTTCTTATCAGATTCTTACTTTTTTTCCAACTATGAGAAAAAGTATCCATACTTTTCCTGTGCATGACTTATTTCACTTAACACGATGTCCTTCCTAAAAGAGTAGCTGACATAGTGCATCTCTGTCTTCATCAGTTTTTGTTTTTGTTTTTGTTTTTGTTTTTTTGTGGTACCGGGGATTGAACTCACTGGTCATTTAGAGATGCAGATGAAAACAACACTGAGATTCCACTTCACCCCACAAACAATGGCTGCTATCAAGAAATCACACAATAACAAATGTTGGCGGGGTTGTGGGGAGAAAGGAGCCCTTCTCCATTATTGGTGGGAGTGCAGACTGGTGCAACCACTATGGAAATCAATATGGAGATACTCACAGAACTAGGGAAAGCAATCCTAAAATACATATGAAACCAGAAGAGTCCTAGCATAGCAAAAGCAAACCTAGGCAACTATAGGAAGGCAAGAGAAATCATAATTCCAGACTGCAAGTTATAGTAAAAAGCTACTCTTCTCCATTATTGGTGGGAGTGCAGACTGGTGCAACCACTATGGAAATCAATATGGAGATACTCACAGAACTAGGGAAAGCAATCCTAAAATACATATGAAACCAGAAGAGTCCTAGCATAGCAAAAGCAAACCTAGGCAACTATAGGAAGGCAAGAGAAATCATAATTCCAGACTGCAAGTTATAGTAAAAAGCTACTGTTATTTTAAAAAACAGCATAGAATTGGCAGAAGACATACAATGCGCACACACATACACACACACACACACACACACACGGATCAAACAGATTGAATAGAAGATGAAGAAACAACTCCAAGCACATTTGGCTGTGTTATCTTTGACAAAGGTACCAAAAAGTTATACTAGAAGGTACATACATAGCCTGTTCAACAAATATTGCAAAGAAAACTTGCTATGCACATGGAGATTGAATCCAGAACCGTATCCCTCATCCTATACTAAACTAAAATCAAAATGAACCAAAGAGTTATATACTAAAATGGAAATGAGAAATCTGCTGAAAGATAAAGTAGGTAAAACTCTTGAAGACATGGGTATAGGGAAGTTCTGAGCACAACTCAGTTACACAACAGCTTACACCAAGAATCAAGAAGCATGGTTTGTGTTTGCCCATGTGTGCCATGGGATCATATCAAATGTTAAAGCTTGTGCACGGCAAAGGAAACAATCAACAGAGTAAAAAAACAACATACAGAATTGGGGGAATTTTTGGCCAGGTATTCATCAGACAAAAGACTAATATCTAGAACGTATAAAGAATACAAAAAAAAAATACTCCAAAATAAAAGATCCAATCGAAAAGTGAGCAACCAAAGTCAACTAGCACATCTCAGAAGAAGAAATAAAGATGGCGGATAAATCCGTGGGGAAAAAAAATGTCAACATCTCTGGCCATTCCACAAGCACGGATTTTAGAAGACACTGAGCTTCCATCCTGATCCAGAAAGAAGAGCTATTATCGGGAAATCAGATAACAACAACTGTGAACAGGGCTGGAGGGGAAAAAAAGGACCATGCCTCATTGATGTTTACGACGGAACCAGTGCAACCATTATGGAAATCAATGTGGAGATTCCTGAAAAAAACTAAAACTAGAAATTCTGTCTGACCCAGCTATTCCCTTTCTGGATATCTTCCTGAAGGAGTTAAAGACATCACGTTACAGTGATACATGGTACACCCATGCACCATTCACAATACCTAATCTCGGAAGCAGCTTTATGTCTCCATGAATGGTAAGGACAGTGTGTATTTAAACGCAGTGGAGTACCTCCTTGCCCTAAAGAAGGCTAAACTTGCCGGGGATTTGGCTCAGTGGTTCCACTGCCTGCCTCGCAAGTGCAAGGACCCGAGTTTGATCCCCAGTACCAAAAAAAAAAAAAAAAAAAAAAAGAGAGAGAGAGAGAGAGAGAGAAGGCTAAACTTGAGTCATTCCTAGGTAATAAACGGATGCACTTAAAGAACATAATGTTTAGTGAATAAGTTAGACATACAAGCTTAAGTGTAACATGGTTTCTCTTATATAAGATAATCAAAATATAAATGTAGAAATACATAGGCAGTAGGGAGAAGTTCAAATAATTCCCTAAATTATCTACTCTGCCGTTTCAAAAATATTTTAATATACATGTTAATTTATTTCATTGATCCTACTTGTTTCCCTTAGCTCATTGAAAAGAAAGTTTCGCGCTATTGTCTTTCTGCTTTGTGAGAGAAGCTTTGTCACCTGTCTTGTACACTAATTATTTTGAAGATATTGGTACACTGTGTATTAACTTCTTATTCTCTTATTCTTGTTATAAAATTTTATTTTCACATTAAACAAAATTTAAGAATTATGAAAAAAAGTATTATGATGTGCCGTACGTCTGTGCCAACTCCTCAGGACGTATGTAATCACTGTGTACTGCAACCGTGAACTAATAAAAATAAAGAGGCCAAAACAACTATATGTAAACAGTAGCAATAATTTGCTACAAAAAATAAAAACGTAGAAAGCCCTGATCTACTGAATATTAGCTTATATACAAAATATAAACCAGCCGAACATTAGGATAGCCATGAAATATAACATGTCCTAGGTAGTTTGAGGAGACTGTCTCTCCATCTGATGATGGATGATGAAAGCTTTCAGCCTTGGATAAATATGTGTGTGTTACTAGGATTATAAGCAAGACACGAGGGAAAGTAAATGTAAGAATGATCCTTGTCCTGGGTGACAAGCCAGAGCCCCGGGATGAAACAACCTCAACTCACTCTGTGCTGAAGACCAGTTGAAAGGGTGATCGGTTAATCTGCAGCTGAAAGCAGTAGCCCTCATCAGGAGGTTAAAACCGCCCAGGTGTGGCACTACAGACACTGTACGACAACAGGGCAAAAGGAAGAATGTTTCAAACTAAAATTTTGCCCCATTTTCCCCCAGATGAAGAGCAGTTTATCCAGTGCCCAATGCATGAGTACCCAGAGAGAGAAACCACTGCCTCCTGAAGGTTGTAAACATACTGTATTTTCAAGATTTGCTAGGCTTAGCTCCAGCCTGCATAGCTCTGTGTTTCTCCATTTTCACAGCTGCAGTTTGGGGTATCTTTTTGAAACACCATAACAGTCTGGTAGTCAAGACTAATAACGGGGCTCTCAGCTACACCCTGCTCATCTCCCTCACCTTCTGTTTCCTCTGCTCCTTGCTCTCCCTTGGCCGGCCCAACACAGCCACCTGCATCCTCCAGCAGACCACATTTGGTGTTGTGTTCACTGTGGCTGTTTCCATTGTTTTGGCCAAAACCATCACTGTGATTCTGCTATGAAACCAAAAAGAACAGTGAGGTGGTTCCTGGTATCAGGAGCCTCCCTGATCCAACTCACTCTCTGTGCAGCCTGGCTGGGAACCTCTCCCCCCTTTATCGACACAGATGCACACTCGGAACATGGCCACATCATCATCGTGTGCAACAAGGGCTCCCTCGCTGCCTTCTACTCTGTCCCAGGATACCTGGGCTCCCTGGCCCTAGGGAACCTTACTGCAGCTTCCTTGGTCAGTTTGACGCCTGCCACATTCAGGGAAACCAAGTCCCTAACATTTAGCATACTGGTGTTCTACAATCAGCTTCTTTCCATCACTATAGCACCAAGTAAAAGGGCCTGGTTACCATGGAGTGCTGCTCCATCCTGTCCTCCAGTGCAGGATTTCTCAGCGGTTAACTCTGTCCCCAGGTGCTACATCATTCTCCTAAGAGTGGATAAGAACTCTTTGAAAGGTTTAAAGGACATGAGAGGCTGTAGGGAAAACGGGCAATTTGGAAGGGTTATCCTTAAAATGTCCCTCTTGTTTTCAGGACTTTTATTTTCTGTATGTTTGTGATACATGATGATTCCATTCCTCTTGGGAAATTGCTATACATAGACAAAGCATCCTGAAATCATATGGTTTCTCTAATATAGGGAAGTGAAAATATAAATAGCTTAAGAGCAAAATAAAAGAGTTACCAGCAAACGGAGAAGGTAGACTTGGGAGATGGAAAAAGAAACTGGGAAATGGAGAAGAACAGAGAGCAAGGGGACAAAACAAAAGTGTTTTGAGGACTTTGGTCCAGAAATATTTCCTCAGTTTACATTGCAGTATTATAAAGTAAGGGGAGATGATGTATCACTTTAGATCCTTCTCTTCTACGGGAGCCATTCTGGAAAACTAACCTTAGTCATTTATTGCAATATCATAGAAACATGAACATTCTATCAGGTTAATGACGACTTTAAATCATTGACGCTGAATTAACTCTACACGTATTTCCTCGCTGGCTGCCACTGAAAATATTCATTGATAAGTTGCATGTGCATAATGTGCATGCGTATCTCAGTTAGATGTTCTATTGTGTTTTCCCTCATCTCACGTCAATGGTGTTACTTTACTGCTAGCACTTTAACTCATTTGAAAGTTTTCCCCGAATAACAGAATTCATGAATCAGGTTCAATTCTTCTGTTTTCCAAGAAGCC